TGTCTTGTGGTAGGTGAGATTCATTGTATTCTTTAATCTCTGCTTGGGTCAATTTCTTTGACAAGAGGAATGGGAAAAATAGAAGATTAGGGGTAGACTTGGAGGGCCCGTTTGGATTGGGTTGAAATTTGGTAATATTTGTTTAATTGAATAGATTACAGTGTTTGGAATTTTTGTACAAAAACATTACTGGAAAATAAGATGACAAACAGTGCCAAAAAGGGGGTAAATTGCCGGGTATAATATTACCTGATGGGGGGCTGGTATTAAGACATTACCCCGGTAATCATGATTTCTATCCAATCTTGCCCCTAAACAGTTTGCGGATGAAAATATCCTTTGGTTTATTGATAATTATAAAATAGCCAATTTGCACAAACAGACGTATTTGTCCTCGGTTTTTTTATTTTTCGGACGAAACTACCCTGATTTTTATCATTTATTTCAGAAATGCCACGAAGATTGGTGTACCCATATTATCCTCAGATTTTTGCATATTGTGACCAACATGCCCTTGAACTTCAATGAAACTACAGGATAAAAGAAAAAAAAAATTTCCCAAATCGCACAACAGGCACAATTTCGTTCTCAGTTCTCAGCGCTAAAACTCGTTCACCGCCGGTGGAGAAAAATATATCGACGATCTCGTTCATCAGTCGATCGCTATTTCCGGTAAGTGGTTTGCCCTCTTTTCTTTGAATGTTGCGTTATTTGTTTCCATTGTAACCCTAACTTGTCCATTTTTCGTCTGTCGTTGGTCCACCATCTTTGCCATTTGCTTCTTTGTTTTGGCACCGTCTAGTAATAGGAACCCATTGGAATTGATTATCTCAATGGTGAGGCAGAGTTTAGTATGGCTTAATCATTTGCTGAGCTCCTTACTGTCTTATCATCAGTTGTTTGATTTATTTTTTTCTTGAATCTGCACTTGGTTCGATAACATAAGTGCCTTGGTACCTTGCTGATTTTCTTTTGAATTTTTTAACAACAAGTTGGCTGCTCTCTACCTGTTATCTAGGTGTTTGAAGTTACTCTATCACCTTGCCATTAAATTAGAGCCCTCAACTTCCAATTTATTCTCCAATTATTTATTGATTGATGACTTGCACATTAAATGTTTAAAATGCTCAACTTTTATAGAGTCAAGGAAATTTAGAGTAAAAGCAGAAAAATTGATGATGAAAAGTATAGTGCTGCTGTGTTGTTGTTGTCTTATGAAAACAGATGGGAATGTTGTGTTACTTTTTGTTTTACATTTTGAGGGAATCTAAGTGGATGGCAGTTTGATTTGATTATTCCTTGTCATAAGAAAAATTATGAATTAAGCTCCTCTACCCTTTTGGTATAGCATTACTTGCTCATTTTGACATATGACTCCAAATATGTTTTCATTTAGGAAGGCACATAATTACCTATATTTCTGGTAAAAATTCTTGGCGGAGGCAGTTTTGAATTACTCTATCACCTTGCCATTAAATTATAGGCCCCAACTTCCAATTTAATCTCCAATTATTTATTGATTTATGCACTTGCACATTAAATGTTTAAAATTCTCAACTTTTATAGAGTCAAGGAAATTTAGAGTAAAAGCAGAAAAATTGATGATGAAAAGTATATTGCTGCTGTGTTGTTGTTGTCTTATGAAAACATATGGGAATGTTGTGTTACTTTTTGTTTTACATTTTGAGAGAATCTGAGTGGATGGCAGTTTGATTTGATTATTCCTTGTCATAAGAAAAATTATGAATTAAGCTTCTCTACCCTTTTGGTATAGCATTACTTGCTCATTTTGGCATATGACTCCAAATATGTTTTCATTTAGGAAGGCACATAATTACCTATATTTCTGGCAAAGATTCTTGGCGGGGGCAGTTTTGAATTACTCTATCACCTTGCCATTAAATTACAGCCTCAACTTCCAATTTATTCTCCAATTATTTATTGATTTATGAAATTTAGAGTAAAAGCAAAAAAATTGATGATGAAAAGTATATTGTTGTTGTGTTGTTGTTGTCTTATGAAAACAGATGGGAATGTTGTGTCACTTTTTGTTTTACATTTTGAGCGAATCTGATAGACCTCCAGTCAATATAGTCTATAAGTCAAGGGGGCATAAACGGGAGCACTAAGAGGAAATGAGTATGAGTGAAGATTGTTACACTAAGGAGAAATGAGTGTGTGTGAGGGTTGTTACAGTTTGTTATAGGATTCTGCATGCATGTGGCTGGATAGAATAAAGTTGTTAGGGTAAGGGTAGTATAGGAAGTAATTGAGTATAAATAGCTAGGGTGTGGTAAATGAGGTATCAAGTTGATTCAGATAAGTGTTGTAGGAGGTCTCCAGCTCCTCGAACTGTTGGGCATTGTTCTGGGGTCTCTTTTTCCTTGCTACTGTTTTATCAATCAGTTTCAATATTAAATTTTAGTTTAATCCAATTGAGTGTTATTTCAATTATGTTCTTGTGTGTGTGTGTGTTGGGATTGAGTTATTGAACAGGTGGTTCCATCAAAATATGAGTGGATGGTAGTTTGATTTGATTATTCCTTGTCATAAGAAAAATTATGAATTAAGCTCCTCTACCCTTTTGGTATAGCATTACTTGCTCATTTTGGCATATGACTCCAAATATGTTTTCATTTAGCAAGGCACATAATTACCTATATTTGTGGTAAAGATTCTTGGCGGGGGCAGTTTTGAAAAAGAAAGGTAAGATTATACTTGTGATTGGTTTTGGCAATCAGGTGAATGCAGAGAGATCTTGGTCTTCTTTTTATTTGATAGGTCTAGAAATGTCATTTAGTTATAATCCTCTGATATCATAATGACAAGTAATACACAAACTGTAGATTTGCTTAAGTTAATAAAATTGCAATTGCTAAAATCGGCCAAAGCGGTAACAAATTTAGGATTGTTCAAAGTCGAATTATAGGTCAGTTAAATTAAATATGTACAGTCAAAATTAACCCTACAAATTATGTTACCAATTGAATTGCTAAAGAAGACAGTTTTGAGGGATTGATATGAAATCTTTGTGATGTTTATGTTGGTTTGTGTGATGGATGAGAAATTTTTATGTGTGGGATGTTGAGAATTGTATGAGTGTTTGATGTGAATTTTTTTCGTTGGTGATATTATTAAATTCTGGTGTTTATGTTGTCTAGGGTTTCATATTCAGTTTGATTTCTTCCATATATAATTGCTTGTGTTGAGTTTAAGGACTTGTACATGTTTGATTGACTTCATTATGTTTTGATCCATGAATTATGTGAAACAGCTATGGCCTGTTTAATAGTCAGGCAGAAGATGCACTTGGTTGCCCTTCTAGTCTTCCATTTGGACATGTTGGAAACCATGTACACCATGCTCGTCCTTCTTGGGTTGGCTAATGCACTTAATATACGGGGTAGACGTAGGGCTGTTATATCATATGCCAGTGAGCCTGCGTTTAGGTTTAAGGTTAGGTCGTTCAATTTACACACCATGCTTTTCCAAAGTGATGAGTTATGTTTTGAGAGTTGTAGGATGAATAGGGCTGTATTTCACAAATGATGTAATTTACTTACTATACATGGCAACTTAAAATCAACCAGTCATTCATCGGTAGAAGAATTAGCTGAGACCTTTCTTCACATCCTTGCCCATAACCAAAAGACCAGAGTAATGAAACGTCAAATGCGTAGATCCACTGATGATAAGCCGCAATTTTCACTTAGTCCTAAACGTCGTGTTAAGGTTGCATACCCTACTGTTTAAAAAACCAGAGGTCATTCCCAAGAACTCAACCAATGAGCGATGGAAATGGTTCAAGGTATAGTCTAATCACTAGGTTTACGATGCATATGTAGTGAAGTAGCTTATTAAAATCAGACTTAGTGTTTTCTCTAAAATATTTTTGTTGTTGTTCTATGTTAGAACTGTTTGGGAGCCTTAGATGGAACATACATAAAGGTTCACGTGCCAGCTAACGATATACCTAGGTATCGGTCAAGGAAAAGTGAAATCGCAACTAATGTCCTTGGTGTATGCACACCTGACATGCAATTTATATATGTCCTCCATGGGTGGGAAGGTTCCACTGCAGATGGTAGAGTTCTTAGGGATGCCATTGCTAGGAGAAATGGATTAAAGGTCCCCTAAGGTAATATAACAAAAAAAATTTGTATTTTTAATATTAGGGTCTACCATAATAGTGCACTTAGTAATTGTTATTGACTTGAAATTGTTTATTTTAGGGCAATACTATTTGTGCAATGCTGGATATACTAACGGGGAAGGGTTTTTAGCCCCTTATCGAGGACAACGATACCATTTGAGTGAATGGCGACAAGGTCACCAACCGGCATCACCACAAGAATTTTTTAACATAAAACACTCTCAAGCAAGAAATTGTATTAAGCGATGTTTCGGCATGTTGAAAGCTCGATGGGGAATATTGAAGGACACATCTTACTACCCCGTCAAAACTCAATGTAGAATCATTACTGCATGTTGTCTTTTGCACAATTTCATAAGGTCCGAGTTGCCCATTGACCCGGTTGAAGTGGAGCTTCAAGAAGAGGTGAACGATTAAGGGCAAGAGGATGACGAAGGAGAATTGATCAGGCACGTTGAGCCTAGTGCCGCGTGGACTGCATTTAGAGACAATTTGGCAGCTGAAATGTTCAATACTTGGATGGCTGCACGGAATGAATGATTGTGCTTGTGTTAAGTCTGTGTAGTGTTGTGAATTTTTAAATTTTTGTCTTTTTTGATTTGCCATGTATGAATGAACAAGGTACACTAATCTGCCTTTGTTAGTGGACTTGTACATCGACTTACATTTGTCGTAATGTGGATGGTTGAATGTTAACTGATCTCATTCATGTATTATTCTTGCTGATTGACTTAAAATTATTAATATCGCGTATATCAATAGCTCGGACACTGTGTATAAACAAAGTTGTAACCTGATTTTTTTCCCAATATCACTAATCTGCCTTTTTTTGTTTTGTTTTAGCAATATGGACAGGTCAGCATCGCAGTCCCATGAGTCCGACAGGAGCATTAGCATGCATGATGACCCTGTGCCTAAGAAAAAGGGCAGAAAGGGCAAGGCAAAGGCTAAGGGAAGTAAGCGACTATGGACAAAAAAAGAGGACGCTGTGTTGGTGGAGTGTTTATTGGAGCTGAAAGAGCAGCCACTTTGGAGAACTGAGTGGGGGTTCAAGTGCGGTTACCTAGCTAAGGTCGAAAAAATGATGTGGGAAAAACTTCCTCATTACGGTCTGAAAGCACAACCACATATCAACTCGAGGGTGAAGATGTTGAGGAGGCAATATAATGCAATCAGCGAGATGCTTGAGAAAGGTAGTGGTTTCGGGTGGAATGATGAGGAGAAATGCATTACATGTACCAAGGATGTCTTTGATGAATGGGTAAGTATGCTTCTGTTGGTCTATTTGTGTGCATTTTAAATTCTAAACTTCACGTTTATATGTACTCATACGAATGCCGCATATTTTATAATGATTAACATTTTTGTAGAGCCATCCTTTTGCAAGAGCACTGCGACACAAACCATGGGTGCACTATGATTCCTTTGTCGCCATCTACGGCAAAAACAGGGCCAATGGAGCTGGTGCGGAGACAGCAGCTGATGCTGTTGAGGATTTGGATAATGGCAGTGTTGACAATAATGATGAATAGATGGACATCGATGTTAATGTAGATCTCGATGTCAAGGGGCACACCAGTGCCCCACCAATGGATGATGTGGTTAATTCTACTTGTCAGGCGGCCGCTGCTAGTCAAAGCAGTGTTACGGTCAGCAGTAAGGGGAGGAAAAAAGATACTAGAAAAGCAACAGAGTGGCACATTGGGCAGGTTTGAGACTGCTTGGCTGGGACCCGAGCAGAGCTGAAGGGTATTGCTGACTACTTCAAGAAGGAGACCTAAGAGAAAGACCGTAAAAGGGCAAGTGTATTCCATCATTTCTCAATTGAATGGATTCACAGTCACTGAGATGCTGACAGCGACCATGGAGATTTGCAAGGAACTTCACAAGATAGATATCTTGTTTAGTTTACCAATGCACATGCATAGAGAATTTGTGAAGATGCAGCTTAGAGCAAGTAATGAGTACCGACCAACATTTGATTTCTAGTGAAGTCTTGTAATGGGTTTTATTTTGGTGCACAGGGTTATTAAAGATCTGACATAGTGGTTATATTCCCGTAGTTGTATTTTGCCTATATTCTAACAACATATGATGATGTCTTCTGTTATGTTTTTGTGAAAACCAGGTCTGTCTAGTAATTAGATGGTAATGGTCTATGTTTGTAGTTAGTACGGGAAGGTACGAATCACTAATATGGAATGTAAAAAACTCTTTAACTTTGGTAGTGATGTATAAAAGGATGTGTACATGTCTGTGCGTTTAATGTTTCTTGTCTTAGTATGGTGAATGTGGCATTTTGATTTACTTATGGAAACTAACATTTATGTCACCAAAAAAGTATGGTCAAGGTATACTAGCATTTATAAACTGTCAATTCTATAAATTTTGTTATTTTTTCCTCTTTGATGTGCTTTGTTTTGTGGGTTGGTGTGGAGGAACGATGGAAAGACCACCATGTTGCCCAGTAATGATGACAGAAAGCACAAAAGTTTGTGAACAATGTCAAGAGAGCCACATAGTTTGTACAGATAGCAATGTGAAAGGTATTACGATTGGATAGTTATGGAGTTAATTTGTTGTATGGTTGGGAATAATGCTTATTAACGTAGCTCATAATTGATTGATATACAGGTGTAGGCAAGACCAGTCATTCAGTACATGAAGAAAATCAGGAGATTCCTTCAGCCTTAAAGGGCAGCAAATGCAAAGGTACTCAGCCTTGTAACTCATAAACCGACTAATGCTTTTAGTTATGAAAGATGTATGGAATTGTTTGCTAATGTAAATGGATGATGAACATATGTTGGTGCCACAAATCAACGAAGGTCAAGTAGGCGATTGGCAAATAGAAGGGAAGGGGGGATGTTGACCAGCAGTATGTTTGACCTCCACATGGGGTACAAAACTGTTTTACAATTGACATGCTTCACGTCATATTTACATAATATGTTTACCTCATATGATGGATTGCATATGTAATGATCTGCAAGAACTTGTGGAGGAGTTTTAAAGGAGACAACTTGCACAATTTCATCACCCTGGACTGCATGTGGTTTTTTATGTACACAAAAGAAGTGTACAAAAGGAACGTGCTAAAGTGGATTCACGAATTGAACATATTCTCAAGGAAATATGTGTTCATTCCTATAGTCCTATAGTGAGTTTTTTTTATATTGTGGCTGTAGGCATTTGTTTTATACTTACCAAACGCGGACATGAGTTGATTTTGGTTGCTTAAGAGTTGACATTGATAATATGCATAAATTATGCTGACAGGGGTTATTGGAGTTTACTGATTTTGTGCAACTTCGGTGGAGATGTAAACTTGGAAATTAAAACTCGATGCATGGTGCTGCTTGATTCGCTTGGATCAGAAAACGGAAAGACACTGCAACCTCTGATTCGACGGTAAACTTTGATTATTTCACAATTATTTGCAAGCACATGATAAAATTGTATTGTTGGAGATGTGGTACTGGAATGGGTTTCAAATTTTCCAAGCTTAATTATGCAGGTTTGTGAGGGATATTTATGAATCAGGAACAATGCCCAAACATCCAGCATTGGTTGAGAAACTGCCTTTGCTAGTGCCTAAGGTGATAAAACAGTATATTGTGTTGGTTGATGGTAATTAGTGGTTGCTATATTCAGTATTTCATGTATTTGTTGTGATCGATAAATGCACTCACCAGGTCCCTCAACAACGGAACCACATGGATTGCGGATATTTCGTACTGTATTATATAACAAAGTTTGTGGAAGCTGCCTCCTCAGATTTTTCAATCAATGATGGGTATCCTTACTTTGTAAGTACTTCAGTCTTTTAATTGATCAGGTTGATTTGTTTATTTTCTCTTCAATTATAATATGTGGGTTACTGTTGTTGATTTTTATTCTCCACAGATGACGCATGATTGGTTTACACAAGCTGAATTTACAGCCTTCCGTGACAAACTGTTGTGTGAAGTTGAGTAGCATAGGCTGCATTTTATTCATTTATGTATAATTATTGTGTATTGAGTATTGTGTAATTAGTTGTTGCGGATGTCAAATTGAATTCACTTAAAAAATGGTAGAGATTATGTTCACTATTGCAACATGCGAAATTATGTATTATTATTGGTTCACAAGTTTAAATAGCATCGTTATTCGGCTTCTAGTTAATTTATTGGAACATTGCTTGGATTCAGCATAATGTAAATGCACAGGTACTCCAAAATATGTGATATGACAAATGTACCAATAATTCTCACACTTTTCACACATAGTTTCGGCCCAGGATAAGTGGAAAAACTAAACAAATTTCCTCAAATTTGGAAACTTGTTTCTAAATTCCAGCCATGGTGTAAACCAAAAAAATACAATTTTTCTTTTGCCTTGAAAAAAAAAATGGCTTTAATTGAACTAAAGTAGAAATGAACATGTACGAACTATAATTTCTGGTAATACAAAAATCAAAGTTTTAGATAGAGTTTTAAATTCGGAGATGCCAACTATATCTGTTGCAATACTATGGTCAGGTGTTGAATGTATAACCAACAGAAAATACAATAGGTTTTTTTCAGAGTTTCAATAGTCTGTGTAAATTTGTCAATAAATAACTTAACAATATACTTGGCTAAAATACAAGAAAAAGAATTGTGTTAATTGATAATTTCTTTTATTAGCCAAACACGTTAATTATTTACACCCAGTAATCATGTAAAGGGCATTTTAGTAAAATGTAATCAAGACATCTGCTGTTACAGCCAACCAAACAGATTAATTAGTAATACAAGTAATCATTTCAAGGGCATTCTAGTAAAAGGGTATTTAAGGACATCTGTTATTACTGTCAACCAAGCACATTAATTATTAATACATCTCAATTGAACCAAGCACAATAAAAATTTAAATCCGGTAATCTACAATGTAATATTTCTTTTCGGTAATCTTATTACTAAGATAAAAAAAATATTTTATGATCCAAACGCCCCCAGATAGTATCATTCTTTTACTCTTAACCAAGGGCTTGTCCTGAGGTAGGTTGGCCGACTTTTAGGCCTTTTGTACATTCTTTCCCCATTTCTATAAAAGCTTACTTTTAGGCAGTTAATGTGACTGGGAAACAGAGGGAATTTGCAACACTTAATCCTGCAAATAAACCATTGACACAAATTGTTCAAGATGACTCATTCATGGAATTTGAATTTAGACAATATCTATTTGCTTGTCAATCAAAGGTGTGCAAGACTAGGAATTTCTTTTTCAACCTTAAATTTGTTGTATTAAGTTATTTATGGTTGAATTGCACTTGTTAAGCTCAACATAAGGTTGGATAAAGAGGATTTTCATTTTTGGTTAGCTTGAAAGCCTTATTATCAATGATTTATGTTAATTTGCAACTTTTATTCAAGTTGAATCATCCCTTTGAGGTTGTATCAAGAGGTTATTCATTTATAATTACCTGTTCAAAGTCCCTTGCACAACATGAGGTATCTAATATATTTTTGTTCATCTAGTTAATGTATAATGTTGTATATTAAGCACTTGTTAAGGAGTATTAATTATGATCATGCAGTTCTGCTCTTTTCTTTTACTCCTCTTGGAGTTCTTCTAGAATATATTACCTTTCTGTATGCGAGAAGTTTGGGTAATTACTGAGTGTTTGGCTTTAATTAGTGCAACCTCTTCTCATTACAATGAAGGACTTGCAACACTTGATATAGAAAAGGAGTTCCATCGGCTCCTTGGTGATCTATATTCTTTATGTAGGGTTAAGGTAATTTTTATAGCCATTCATAATGAATCATCATATCTGGTATTTGATAGCAGTTTTCTTTATGGTGCTAATGTTTTCTGCTTTCACTTTAAAGTGATTAATTCATTTTTCAATTGATAATGGGGCCAGAAATTCTGGCAGTCTGAATATATTTTGTAGAATTTCACACCATTATGGACTATGAAACTTGTTTCTTTTCTTTTTCTCTTTCTCTTTGAACCTTATATATAGAAATATTGTTTAAGTGGGTTTATGATTATGGCAGTTCATGAGGCTTGCATACCTAATTGGATATGGATCCGATATAGAGAGAAGCTCTGTCAACTGGTATGAATTAATTATTTAAGACCAATATCAATTTGAGCCTTTTATTATGGTTGTTGGTTATATGGAAAAAAATTATTAATAAAAAAAAATTATTATCATTATTATTCAAAACAATTTTTTTTTTTTTTTTGGTTAAAAATTCTTGATAGTTCTAAGACTATCAAGGATTGGTTAAAATTTGGCCAAATCCTTGATAATTTATAATTTTCAAGAATCAGTTAAGAAATTCTTGACAGTTTCAAAAACGGTCACCACCCTTTCTTGACATGGACTTCAATGACGAGTGAAAAACTATCAAGAAACACTCTTTTTGATAGTTATTACCAGAAAGAAAGGGGATTTTTCTAGTAGTGATTTTTTTTTTTTTATAGTAGCACCAAATGTGCACAATATATGCGCAAGATGTGCATAATATAATTTAGTGTTTCTATCAAACAAAAA